CCTCGGCTCTTCTGATGCATGTCATGTGTTAGACACACGCACCAAACCACGGCTCTTCTGATGCATGTCATGTGTTAGACGCACGCACCAAACCACGGCTCTTCTGATGCATGTCATGTGTTAGACACACGCACTAAACCACGGCTCTTCTGATGCATGTCATGTGTTAGACGCACGCACCAAACCACGGCTCTTCTGATGCATGTCATGTGTTAGACGCACGCACTAAACCACGGCTCTTCTGATGCATGTCATGTGTTAGACGCACGCACCAAACCACGGCTCTTCTGATGCATGTCATGTGTTAGACACACGCACCAAACCACGGCTCTTCTGATGCATGTCATGTGTTAGACACACGCACCAAACCATGGCTCTTGAGAGCCAGAAGTCTGGGGCCAAAAGCTCTGCTGACCAGTCGATGGATGAGGTGTCCTTGAGCCCTGAACATGATGCTGAAAGTAGTTTGGAAAAACGTTTTGTCAGGAAAACGAGGCTTCAGTGCAAATAATTGTGGTGTCACTTACGCGTGTGTCCGTATGTTGTTCCCATTAGAGCGCTGTTTCTTGCTCGTGCTTAAAGTTGTGTTAAAACCACCAAGTCAAGTGATTTGAAATTTTGAACATTTTCTATTGTATCAGTGTTTTTCTGATCCTCTTATGCACCAGTCATTTTCCTTCCTCCATTTTCGACTGCATGTTAGTAGTGTATTAAAGACTGCAAGTTCCCCCACTATATGTGTTTATTGTGAATATATACATTGTGTAGTAATCTCAAGATCTTCATTGGCTAGAAATGGCTCTTTGAGATTACAGTCTCTGTGAAATGACTTAAAAATCCTAATCCAAAACTATCCAGTATCATTATTAACAACTGGAAATACGCTGTCACAAAGTGTTTGGAAAAACACGTTTCTAAACTAGACAAATGCTTATAGAAGAGCTTGTTCTTCAGCTGTCTTAGAAGACACTCCTGGTTTTCAATGAGCGTAACTCTCAGTAATTTGCTCTGTCCTACGTCGGGCACAGCGGGGCAGAATAAACCCTTTCAGCATGAGTTATGAAGATGTGAGTGACTCTCCAGCTCTAACCTGAAGGATCAATCTCTCTGTGTGACGGATTACATCAGAAATCCCTTCTGTCGACATGGCTATTACTGCACAAACAGCCCTCCATCACTGTGGTTTGTGTCTGTCAGGGTTACAGCTGGATAGACAGTAGTTGAGGGATTTCACTGGCCTGAGCCGATCCAAACAACACAGCTGAAGCTTCTGTTAACCCAGCCTCCCTCAACAACAGCTCACCGAAACTACCGCTCCCTCTCATCAATACAATCCTATCCCATCATTCTCCAGTGAAGCACACCCTAGAATCGAATCAGAGAGTCGGAGCCAGTGGGATGTTTTGTAACTTTTTCTAACGCTAAAAGTTACATTTTAGAACTTTTTTCTAACCCTAATTTATAGACCTGGTTAAAGGAAACACGATATGTTAATATGTAAAATGAGTCGAAGTAGCAACAACTTCCAACAAATCTGCATTACAATCTTTTTATTTAAAAAACTGAAGTAGATTATGGAAATATCTTTTACTGTACCCTCTGATCACACTGCAAGAAAGCAATGTTTTTCCTATATGACATATTTGTGTCCTGCTTTCCAGTGCAAATATTTGTTCTTGTAAACTCACCTGATTTTGTTCAGTTTCTCAGGAAACCAGTCAACATTAATGCAGCAGCTACATGAATTTAAGACTTTCTGCTCTGATTCAAGACCTTTTTAAGCCTTTAATTTGTGGAAGGGCTCATTAAGACTTTATAAGACCTGCAGAAACCCTGGGATAATTACAAGCAGCTAACTAACCCTAAACCCATAGTAAGTACATGTGGTTAATTGATATTACTTAAGCATGTGTTTGTGTAACAAGGACCCTAAAAGTTAATAGCTTGCATGTAAGTCCAGATATGGCCCGTGTCTACGCCTATGAAATTTACTGGTAACACTTTACTCAAAGCCTTTATGCATAATGCATTATAAAAGCAGTAATAATACATTAAATATGTTTTGTAATGAACCTTATAATGCATTGTACAGTCTCATGAATAATTGTAACCACATTATAACACTTATCATACCTTGTGTAATTTATTCTGAGATCGCCATAAAAATAGTCTTGATGCTAGCATGGCGTTAAAAAGTGAATACATGAATAAATTATAACACTTGTCAATTCATTGTTACACTATGCATATTAAATTTGGTTATCATTATTTAGCATTTTACAGTGCTCATTATGAATAATTATAATGCATTATAGCCTTCAATAACTCTTTATTATGCATTAAGTAAAGTGTTACCAAATTACTTCAAAAGAAGCCCAAAAATAGCAGTCTTTGCATGAAGCAGTGCACCGACTGAAACAGAGCTGAGAGACCGCATAAGCTCTCCATTGATGTATGGTTTGTTAGGATAGGACAATATTTGGCTGAGATACAACTCTTTGAAAATCTGGAATCTGAGGGTGAAAAAAAATCTAAATATCGAGAAAATCATCTTTAAAGTTGTTCAAATGAAGTTCTTAGCAATGCATATTACTAATCAAACATTAAGTTCTGATATATTTACGGTAGGAGATTTACAAAATATATTCATGGAACATGATCTTAACTTAATATAGATACTTAATATCCTTAATACTTAATACTTAATATCCTAATGATTTTTGGCATGAAAGAGAAATGTATAATTGTGACCCATACAATGTATTGTTGGCTATTGCTACAAATATCCCCCAGCGACTTAACACTGCTTTTGTGCTGCAGCGTCACACATGTAAAGCAAAACGTCTGAAAAGTTTTACAAAAGTGGCATTTGAGTTCATAAGAGTACAGATTGGCAGGCACGTTTAGGCATGATTCGTTCACCTTGACACAAGAAGTGTAAGGAATTGAGGAAAGTCAGATCAGGAGGGTCTTGAGCGTCTCAGTTGTTCTTGCTGTCCTCGTCCTCACTCGAACCCTCGCCTGAGTTTCTGCGTAGAGTGATCCAGAAAACCTCTGGATGTCATTGATCAGAACTGCAGGTTTCTTCATGTTTGTGTAAGGCTGGACGATTAATCGAAAAGAAACCGGAACTCAGAACCTCTAACCAACCTGATTTTCCCATTTCAGTGTTTAATCCTATTAATATTTCCCCTTAAAAACGTACTACCACTTGTGTAGTCGGCGCTATATATATATATATATATATATATATATATACAGTTTCTACTTTTTGCATGACAATATTCATTTATATTGTTTGCAAAAAGGAAACTTGAACTTTACAATAAAACAGAAATGTGACTTTTTTTCACAAGACACTTTCCTTTTGGCATCTTCATTTTTAAGGCCCTGTATGGTTCAGTTACAGAGATAAGTAAGCTGACACTTATTATATTTAAAGAACAATGTCTGAAGAATAAATAATGTTGAGAGTAGAAATATATGTTTTTTGAACATACTGTATGTAATTGCATAGAACATACATGTCTGAGTGCTAAACTGTTCTTTTTCTGAAGTCTGTGTGCCTGTGACTCAAGAAGTATTAAAGATACCTTAATATGATTTTAGATTCTGATTCTTAATCAAATTACATTTTAAGGCCCCGTATAATTCAGTCCCCGAGATATTGGGATCTCAATGCAGCTCCATGTCCAAATGATTGAATCCTGCCCATGCAAATGTGTTTATCTAGTTATGAGTGACACTGCAAATATGCAAATAATAACAGTAACCCAGGGTTTAGGAATGAGCAGCGCGACATGTCAGATTATAAATAACCAGGATTGTTCATTAATCCAAGTATGAGCAGTGTGAAACATACAATAAAATTACCCAGGATCCCATTTACTCAGAGTTTAGAATTACTCAGTGATAATTATTTCAAGTGTGAGAGACCTCAAATGTTTCAAAGTTTGAGCTACTGTCGGTGATTCTGACAAATATGTGCCCCAGTGGATATTACATAATCTATGACTATGCTTCACATGTTATAACAATAAAAAAAGAGAAATGCATTCTAATACTTAATCCAGGTGAGGCAAATCTTGGTTTACTGATGTGAATATAATGTGTGATCAACTAGGATTTGTTTCTAACATGTCATTATGATGCTGCATATCTCAACTCTTGGTAGCTTCAGAAAAAGTTAAAATGAACAAAATCCATTCTTCCAAATATCTCTGAAACTGATCCAAATTCAGAATCTTATGAATAGACAACTGAGAGCAAGTTACTGGCCTCAGCTTGACCACTTCAGTGCATGTTTAGCACTCAGACAGGTATGTTCAATGCAAGTGTTTTGATAGAGGAAAACAAGCTACAATTCTGCTTTCAACATCAACATTGTTTATTCTTCAGACATTGCTAGAAGTATCAGCTGAATGCAAAGTGACCCACATTTGGTTTTTGAGCACTGAAAATGTGTACGATTGAACGATTTACTCCTGGATCCATGTTGAGAGCCCTATATTGCGAAAATGGGACCATAAAGAGCCTTAAAATTAAAGATGCCAAAAGAAAAAATTGTTAAAACCCCAAATCTAAAAAGGCATTAGGATATCTTTGATACTTCCTGAGTTACAGGCCTGCAAACATTGGAGGGAGAAAAAACTTGAAAGTGCTTTTTCCCATTATTGAACATTCACTGATAATGCAACACAGATTGCTTAAGTCAGCAGATTTCACTAACAGAGCAGCCAATCTCTGTGTAATAATAACCCTGTGATGCTGCACTCTTTCTGTAATCTGGCTCTGAGTCTCGGGTGAGGATGAGCAGTTTGACCCTCCTCTACTAAACAGTGGATTACTCAGAAAATACACATCCGTGACATGTAATATTTTGCCTTTCATCACTATACATGTTTATCTTTCTTCAGGAAAAATACTGACAAAATGAAAGATTTGAGCCGGGGAAGTTTCTGAAATTTGGTTTATTTGAGACGGAATCACATCACATCGCATCACATGTCATGCGGAGCGTCAGCGATGTAAAATCCATGTTGTAATATTGCATGATGGATGTTGACGTAGAGCGACACGGTCTTCATTCTGGGCAGAAGGTGAGATCCTGTGAACTGGTCTCGGCTCAGAGACACTTTCCCATCCAGCGAGCGCATGTGGTTTATAAAGGTCAGAGCGAAACCGTAACAGCACGATCCAAACTCGCTCTCCTCAGCTAACCTGCCGGTGAACAAACATGATCACGTCTAGCCGCCCGACCAGTGCATAAAACACTCAACTCAGCACCATTAAAAGCTATATCTAGCCACTTTTAGTTTGGCTCATGTTTTCCCCAGGAGTGTGTGCTGATGATCATGTAAAGTGCACAACATCTGAAACATGTGACTGTGTAGCGCTGCTCCAGCTCTGTCCCATGATTCCCTGAGCTCCTGTGTCCACGCAGGGTTCCCAGCCGCGCTCGTCTCTCCGGACCCCTGACAGGGTGTAGTTATAGACCAGACCTACAAACACAAGCACTGTTGAAACACAGCAAAACAACAGACGGTATATAATAATGACAGGTGACAGCCCTACATGAATCTCTGTGTCATGCCATTCCCTGCAGAATAAATACATAACATGATAGAATAGTGTTAGAGCAATAACATATGTGTCCCTGCAGCACAAAAGCAGTGTTGAGTCGCTGGGGGATATTTGTAGCAATAGCCAACAATACATTGTATGGGTCACAATTATACATTTCTCTTTTATGCCAAAAATCATTAGGATATTAAGTAAAGATCATGTTCCATGAAGATATTTAGTAAATGTCCTACCGTAAATATATCAAAACTTAATGTTTGATTAGTAATATGCATTGCTAAGAACTTCATTTGAACAACTTTAAAGATGATTTTCTCAATATTTAGATTTTTTTGCACCCTCAGATTCCAGATTTTCAAATATTGTCCGATCCTAACAAACCATACATCAATGGAAAGAGTATTTATTCAGCTTTCAGAAGATGTATACATCTCTATTTTAAAAAATGTACCCTTATGACTGGTTTTGTGCTCCAGGGTCACACATATATTGCTAATTATAATTAAGATTTTTTATGTTTTTGAAAAAAGTATTTTCTGCTCATCAAAGCTGCATTTTTTTAAATCAAAAATATTCTGAAATATTATTATAATGTAAAACTGCTGTTTTCTGTGTGAATCTGTGTTAAACTGTAATGTATGTCTGTGATGCGCAGCTGTATTTTCAGCATCATTCCTCCAGTCTTCAGTGTCACATGATCTTCAGAAATCAGTATAATATGCTGATCTGCTGCTCGAGAAACATTTCTGATTATTATCAATGTTGAAAAGCACTTGGGACTGTGTGTCCACTTCTGAAGGGACAGAGAAGAGCAACAGGAGCGTCCAGAAGTCCAAACGTGAGAGGATGTCTAATACTATATATATATATATATACACACACATTGCTTAAAAACACACACACACACTTTTACATCCTCCCACTTAAATGAGTTTCTCTAAGATATTGAAATAATACAACACATATCTTTTGACTCTTTTCGCAAAATATCTATTAAATGAAATCATATTTTCATCTCTCCTAATTTTTGTATCACATGTCGTCTTTCTGTTTCATATTTCTGACATGTATTATAACCGGTTCTGCTGTCTCTATCTGTGTTGTGTTCAACAGCTCGAACAGTGCTTCATTTAGTCCAGTGGGGCCCAACATCAGCCTCGATACTGCTGTTTCTTCCCTCCTGTTCCTCCCTGTAGTCCTCACTTTATTTGTATTTTATTAACATTTTGCAAGTAACATTACATTTGAAATGACAAAACAAGACATTCGACGACTGGATTTAACAGTGAGCTAGAACAAACAAGCTTTTGCGAGGGATTTAGAGCATTAAAAGAGCAGAGCCAAAGTTACACGAGAGAAGCAGGACCCTTTCTTCTGGTTTAGGAGTGGTCTTCATTAATGTCCTACTCTGTTCACAATGCAAGAAGCGATATACGAATCATTCTTTCGAGTCGTGAATCAGTGGAACCGATTCCGTGCTTACTCACGGAATGTAAACGAATCGGTTCGCAACCAGAGTTATGAAACGAACCGTTCGAAAGAACCGATTCGCGGAAACGAGTCGCTCTTGGCGTCACTCGGCGGAAGCAATGCCGGCGATATTTTTAGGTTGCACAAAACCGTGGAGACGGTAACACTTCACAGAAAACATCACATTCGCAGCCGGATGAAACATGTCAACCAAACAAGTGACCTGCAGGTAAAGAGAAGCACAACCCGTCATCACATAAGAGCACTGATAACAGCAGCGTGACTTTGATATGCGAGAAAACGCTGCAGCTGGATTGACGCATGTGCGACACTTACAGCTTGATAAACACTGATATCTCTGCAGGAGAACATCTCTCTTCTCCCGCAGAGGCTTACAGGCACCATGCGTCATGCTCAGCTCTGTCTCAGACCAGGTGTGTTTGGTGCTCGTCTGTCTGCAGGTATTTCCTCCACGGGGTCTGTCGCGAGGGCAGCAGGTGCATGTTCTCTCACGATCTGGCCACGAGCAAGCCCTCAACTATCTGTAAATATTACCAGAGAGGAGTGTGTGCGTATGGAGACAGATGCAGGTGAGCTATAGACACACGCTGCATGCATGTGAGTGCTTCTGCGGTTATTAGGATGCTGGCATCTTTCGGAAGTCTTTTCTACCCTCCTGTAATCTGGCTCTGAGTCTCAGGTTAAATGAGCCGTTTGACCCTCCTCTACAAAATAGTGGATTACTCAGTACATATTCATCCATGACTTTTAATATTTTGGCTTTCCTCACTATACATGTTTATCTTTCTTCAGAGAAAAAAAAATATATATGCAAAACAAAAACCTCTGGTTGAGTTGACTCAGAATGACCCTCCTCTGAAAGATTTCTACTTCAATCACACATTTCTATTTGCTCTCTGTTTCTTTCTTCTCTAACATGCCTGGTGTCGGTAAATCTTCTCTTATAAGATCAGAAATGGTGCACAAATGATGTTGTATGTGTAAGTTCTGGATGGTGCAATTCTGAAAAATGTTGTTTTTAAAAATTAGGAATAAATTGTAATTAGAGAGATTAGTGTACTATTCTTGTGCCTGTGTGTGTGTGTGTGAGAGAGAGAGAGAGAGAATTGTCTGTGGTTTAGTGCAGTGTGCTGATGTGTCTGTGGTTTAGTGCAGTGCGCTGATGTGTCTGTGGTTTAGTGCATTGTGCTGATGTGTCTGTGGTTTAGTGTGCTGATGTGTCAGTGGTTTAGTGCAGTGTGCTGATGTGTCGGTGGTTTAGTCTAGTGTGCTGGTGTGTCGGTGGTTTAGTGCAGTGTACTGATGTGTCTGTGGTTTAGCGCAGTGTGCTGATGTGTCAGTGGTTTAGTGTAGTGTGCTGATGTGTCGGTGGTTTAGTGCAGTGTGCTGATGTGTCGGTGGTTTAGTCTAGTGTGCTGGTGTGTCGGTGGTTTAGTGCAGTGTACTGATGTGTCTGTGGTTTAGCGCAGTGTGCTGATGTGTCAGTGGTTTAGTGTAGTGTGCTGATGTGTCGGTGGTTTAGTGCAGTGTGCTGATGTGTCTGTGGTTTAGTGCAGTGTGCTGATGTGTCAGGGGTTTAGTGCAGTGCGTTGATGTGTCAGTGGTTTAGTGCAGTGTGCTGATGTGTCTGTGGTTTAGTGCAGTGTGCTGATGTGTCTGTGGTTTAGTTCAGTGTGCTGATGTGTCTGTGGTTTAGTGCAGTGTGCTGATGTGTCAGGGGTTTAGTGCAGTGCGTTGATGTGTCAGTGGTTTAGTGCAGTGCGCTGATGTGTCTGTGGTTTAGTGCAGTGCGCTGATGTGTCTTTGGTTTAGTGCAGTGCGCTGATGTGTCTGTGGTTTAGTGCAGTGTGCTGTGTTTTCTGATAGGTATGATCATGTCAGAGCTCCTGGTCGTGGTGGAGGATCATCGGCAGAGCAGCAGAACAGAGGCAGCAGTGCAGGAGCGTCAGCGCCGGGCCCCGGACCCCCGCCCAGCACCAGCAAACATGTCAGCAAGCCTCTGGTGCTCAGAGACAAAGGTGTCAGATACACTGCATGACTGTATATGACAGCCACAGTGCTGAGATGACTGTGAGCTGATGTTGTGTTGCTGTGTTTCAGCGCTGGGCTCTGACAGCAGAGCGAGGGACTGCTGGGATTACAGCAGCGACAGCAAGCCTCACTCCTATCTGGAGGCCACCCGCTGCGGGCTGCAGAGCTCGGCCGGCGCCGGCCCACATCCAGACCACCAGCAGCTCTGCCCTTACCTAGCGACGGGACACTGTCACTACGGCGACAGCTGCCCATATCTCCATGGCGATCTGTGTGAAATATGCCGCCTGCAGGTTCTGCATCCGCACAACCCTGAACAAAGAGCAGCGCATGAGAAGGTGATTGACTGAGTTCTTTTCTTTCTTCTCTAAAATACCTGGTCTGATGAAGGGGAAAAAATTATATATATATATAATTGTGTGTTTGTGTGTGTCATAGTTCATCCTCATAAATTTCACTATGCAGCTTTTTCCAAATTTGGCACTTTTTTGACTTGATCAAATCTTGCAAGATTGTGATTCATCTCTGAACTAGTTGCATTTGGTTGAACTCATTATTTAAAAATTAATTTAGTAAATTGAATGAGAAAGATTCATACTAAGACGGTCACTGTTGCACTACTTTGTGAGGAAGAGTATGTGATGCTGCTGCTGTTTGTGCTCAGATGTGCATGACGGCCTTCGAGCTGGACATGGAGAGAGCGTTCGCAGCACAGCAGAGTCAGGACAAGCAGTGTAAGATCTGTCTGGATGTGGTGTATGAGAAGGCGTCTCCGTCCGAGCGGCGCTTTGGCATCCTCTCCAGCTGCTGCCACACGTACTGCTTGAGCTGCATCCGGCAGTGGCGCTGCGCTGAGCAGTTCCAGAACCAGATCCGCAAGTGAGTCCAGAGCCGCACTGATGTTAGCCCTGCTGTCTCAAATGCTGTGAGGCAGGGGCGGACTGGGGCTAAAACGTGGCCCTGGACTTTTTGCACAGAGCGGCCCACACCATAAACCCACCAGCTCATTAGAGATATTTTTAACACCACTTACTGACATACAAATATAACACAATACAGAAATATATATATATATTTAAATTATTATCATTAACATTAATGAATGACCGTCATACTTCTTTACATTATAATTTGTCTTTCCTGGTGTATATGGCAATTTGTAAATCATATTTTACACATCTCTTAGAGGGACAGTTTAATATCTCTAAAGTTAAATGCCTACCATAATATCAGTCCATATAACAATGCTCTGCTCTAGAAGACTTGGAATGTAGTACAGAATGTGGACTGTTTTTATTGTACCTTTCAATTGCTTGACTAGAGTTTTTTTTTTATGAAGAATTTTATGATGATGAAAAATACAATAAACTGTAATATGTGAAATATATAGAGTTACAATTTAGAGCAGCTGTTTTCTATGCAAATATATAGTAAACAATAATGTATTTCTGTGATGCGCAGCTGTATTTTCAGCATCATTCCTCCAGTCTTCAGTGTCACATGATCTTCAGAAATCAGTATAATATGCTGATCTGCTGCTCGAGAAACATTTCTGATTATTATCAATGTTGAACACAGTCGTGCTGCACAATATTTTTGTGGAAAATGTGATAGATACATCACCATTCAGTCTAGAGTAAGATTTAAAATAATAATAATACAACTTTTATTCAACAAGGTTGCATTAAATTTATTTAAGTGATAGTAAAGATATGCTTATTACAAATTATTTATATATAAAAAACGTTGTTCTTTAACTTTGTATTCAACAAATAATCCTGAAAAAGTTAATGTCACAGTTTCCACATAAGTATTAAGAAACAAAAACGGTTTTCTGTACTGATAATAATAAGAACCATTATTAATGACTGAGCACAAATAATAATTGAAAATAATTAAGCAGCAAATCAGCATATTATACTGATTTCTGAAGATCATGTGACACTGAAGACTGCAGTAATGATGCTGAAAATACAGCTGCGCATCACAGAAATAAATACATTTAAACATTAAACCGTTAAAACATTCACATTAAAATATCTTTAATAGAAAAATAGAACTTTCCTAATCACGGCACTTGAAAGAGAAAGTTTTCAGATTTACAATGTTCTAGAGTAAGTTTGAGAATTATATTTTTACAGTTTTTTGAAATATTTTCTTAGACACGTTAAATTTCGGAAGAAATATAACGATATACAAATGTCTGCTGAAAACGGCTACGTTAATGTTTCTATGTAGGCTACACTGTGGCAAACAATGTAAATGGCATTAAAATCTGAGAGTTTGCATGCCTGAAAATTAATGTCTGTCGTTAAACATTTTTTGTAAACTGTTGGCAAATATTGCTGAATTGTCTCTTACCTCAGCTCGCATTCAAATGCCGCGCAGCTCAGCTTCTGTGAACAGTAAATCCCGGCTTCTTTAATTTGATTGAGCCAGAACGCGGTAAATTGATTAGAATGTTTGTCTCAAGTGGGCTCGTGGGCCATTCGTCTGGGCCGAGGGAGGGATAGGCTACGTATATTTACTGTAATTCATTCTTTACATTTATGCAATGGGCCTGCCCACATTGTACAGTGGCCCAGCGGGAAAACTCCCGGTGCTCCAGATGGCCAGTCCGCCACTGCTGTGAAGTAACGTGTGATTGTGTGCAGGTCCTGCCCCGAGTGCCGCGTGGTGTCCGAGTTCGTCATTCCCAGCATGTACTGGGTGGAAGACCAGGAGGAGAAGAACCGGCTCATCGAGGAGTTCAAGTCTGGAGTCAGGTGCGTATGAAACCAACTTCCATTGTTGCAAGGCAGCCAAATAATTAGCAATACACACGGGGCTCCAAAAGGAACTGGATTCCTGCAGGATTCATTTTTTATTTTTATAAAAATAGCATGTTTTACACCAGGATTGGTTTCATTTTTATCTGTTACAAACACATAGTCAGTAATGTGCAGTGCCATTTTAGTATCGTTGAGATGCAATTATAGTTTATTATACAAGATTTTGGATTTTTTATTTTCATATGCTCCATTTTAATTTAAATTTTAGGTAAAGTTTTAATAACAAATTGTTTCAGTACTTCGTTAAACCAATTGAAAACGTCTCGGTTATGTATGTAACCCTCATTCCCTGAAGGAGGGAACAGATACGTCACATCGGTATGACCGACAAATTGGGATCTCGCTTAGAGAGACCAATCTACTTCAAGTGTAACTAAACAAGCCAATGCACATTGGCATGCGATGATTGCATCCAGCTGCCACTGATCGCAGCGCGAGTATAATTAGGCAGCAGGTGCAACGCATACTCAGGTTTTCGCTGAGGAGCCGAGCCGGTTGTACAGCAGACGTGGTGACGGGACATGACATCTCTGTTCCCTCCTTCAGGGAACGAGGGTTACATACGTAACTGAGACGTTCCCTTTCAGTTTGTCACTTTCGAACGTCACGAGATGTTCCCTTTCAGTTGGTCACTTTCGACCGGCGAATTGGGATCCCTACCAAAGCACCACGGATGCTGAACCCCTTCAGCGCCCTGTGTGAGCCTCCTGCACCCCCTTTTTGGTGTAGGCGGGGGCTCACACCAGGAAGACCAATTTCTCCAGTTTCTGTTGTCGTAGCACTACCCACTCAGTGAGATTAGATAACACTGGGAAAACGTACCCGTTCCACTTGGTGCCTGAAGCCTCATCCTTCCTGATGGAGGTTTCGGAAGCACTTACACGTATGGATAACCGTTTAGGTGCATATGGAAGATTAGAGGTGAGTTACAATTTAGAGCAGCTGTTTTCTATGCAAATATATAGTAAACAATAATGTATTTCTGTGATGCGCAGCTGTATTTTCAGCATCATTCCTCCAGTCTTCAGTGTCACATGATCTTCAGAAATCAGTATAATATGCTGATCTGCTGCTCGAGAAACATTTCTGATTATTATCAATGTTGAACACAGTCGTGCTGCACAATATTTTTGTGGAAAATGTGATAGATACATCACCATTCAGTCTAGAGTAAGATTTAAAATAATAATAATACAACTTTTATTCAACAAGGTTGCATTAAATTTATTTAAGTGATAGTAAAGATATGCTTATTACAAATTATTTATATATAAAAAACGTTGTTCTTTAACTTTGTATTCAACAAATAATCCTGAAAAAGTTAATGTCACAGTTTCCACATAAGTATTAAGAAACAAAAACGGTTTTCTGTACTGATAATAATAAGAACCATTATTAATGACTGAGCACAAATAATAATTGAAAATAATTAAGCAGCAAATCAGCATATTATACTGATTTCTGAAGATCATGTGACACTGAAGACTGCAGTAATGATGCTGAAAATACAGCTGCGCATCACAGAAATAAATACATTTAAACATTAAACCGTTAAAACATTCACATTAAAATATCTTTAATAGAAAAATAGAACTTTCCTAATCACGGCACTTGAAAGAGAAAGTTTTCAGATTTACAATGTTCTAGAGTAAGTTTGAGAATTATATTTTTACTGTTTTTTGAAACATTTTCTTAGACACATGAAATTTCGGAAGAAATATAATGATATACAAACGTATGCTGAAAACAGCTACATTAATGTTTCTATATACACTGTGGCAAACAATGTAAATGGCATTAAAATCTGAGAGTTTGCATGCCTGAAAATTAATGTCTGTCGTTAAACATTTTTTGTAAACTGTTGGCAAATATTGCTGAATTGTCTCTTACCTCAGCTCGCATTCAAATGCCGCGCAGCTCAGCTTCTGTGAACAGTAAATCCCGGCTTCTTTAATTTGATTGAGCCAGAACGCGGTAAATTGATTAGAATGTTTGTCTCAAGTGGGCTCGTGGGCCATTCGTCTGGGCCGAGGGAGGGATAGGCTACGTATATTTACTGTAATTCATTCTTTACATTTATGCAATGGGCCTGCCCACATTGTACAGTGGCCCAGCGGGAAAACTCCCGGTGCTCCAGATGGCCAGTCCGCCACTGCTGTGAAGTAACGTGTGATTGTGTGCAGGTCCTGCCCCGAGTGCCGCGTGGTGTCCGAGTTCGTCATTCCCAGCATGTACTGGGTGGAAGACCAGGAGGAGAAGAACCGGCTCATCGAGGAGTTCAAGTCTGGAGTCAGGTGCGTATGAAACCAACTTCCATTGTTGCAAGGCAGCCAAATAATTAGCAATACACACGGGGCTCCAAAAGGAACTGGATTCCTGCAGGATTCATTTTTTATTTTTATAAAAATAGCATGTTTTACACCAGGATTGGTTTCATTTTTATCTGTTACAAACACATAGTCAGTAATGTGCAGTGCCATTTTAGTATCGTTGAGATGCAATTATAGTTTATTATACAAGATTTTGGATTTTTTATTTTCATATGCTCCATTTTAATTTAAATTTTAGGTAAAGTTTTAATAACAAATTGTTTCAGTACTTCGTTAAACCAATTGAAAACGTCTCGGTTATGTATGTAACCCTCATTCCCTGAAGGAGGGAACAGATACGTCACATCGGTATGACCGACAAATTGGGATCTCGCTTAGAGAGACCAATCTACTTCAAGTGTAACTAAACAAGCCAATGCACATTGGCATGCGATGATTGCATCCAGCTGCCACTGATCGCAGCGCGAGTATAATTAGGCAGCAGGTGCAACGCATACTCAGGTTTTCGCTGAGGAGCCGAGCCGGTTGTACAGCAGACGTGGTGACGGGACATGACATCTCTGTTCCCTCCTTCAGGGAACGAGGGTTACATACGTAACTGAGACGTTCCCTTTCAGTTTGTCACTTTCGAACGTCACGAGATGTTCCCTTTCAGTTGGTCACTTTCGACCGGCGAATTGGGATCCCTACCAAAGCACCACGGATGCTGAACCCCTTCAGCGCCCTGTGTGAGCCTCCTGCACCCCCTTTTTGGTGTAGGCGGGGGCTCACACCAGGAAGACCAATTTCTCCAGTTTCTGTTGTCGTAGCACTACCCACTCAGTGAGATTAGATAACACTGGGAAAACGTACCCGTTCCACTTGGTGCCTGAAGCCTCATCCTTCCTGATGGAGGTTTCGGAAGCACTTACACGTATGGATAACCGTTTAGGTGCATATGGAAGATTAGAGGTGATTGTAACCCTCTTGGAAAATGGCAGAAAATCTGCCGGGGAAACACGGGCTCTGAGGCTATACCGTGGACTTTCCACATATGGGATCCACTTAAGTCACTACATATGGAACTCAGCCCTCTACTGGTTCTCATGGATTCATTGAGTGAGAGGCCTGGCACCGGACGTTCCACCACGTCTGGCTGCCGAGGGGATGGAGGAGCTCGACAGGGTCTACAGTGCGGACTCTCTGGAGTGGTTTTAGCAAGCCAACACTAGCTGGGGCCTCTCAGTGCTTCTATCCGAGGTGAGAACACAGGAGGATACCGGCTCAACATGAAGGTAATAGAATCTAGCGAACGTGTTGGGGGTCGCCCAGCCCGCAGCCCTACAAATATCTGTCAGCGAGGCGCCATGAGCCAGCGCACAGGAGGATGCAACATTTCTAGTAGAGTGAGCTCGCAACCTGAGTGAGCAGGGCACCCCCTGTGCCTGATAGGTCAGTGTGATGGCATCCACTATCCAGTGGACCATCCTCTGCTTGGAGACGGCATTCCCCGACCATAACATACATACAAATACACATACACATAACAGACAAAGAGCTGATCTGAGGTCCTGAAGATTTGTGTCTGGTCCACGTACCATCTCAAGGCTCGGATGGGACAGAGCAAAGCTAGGGCTGGGTCTGCTGCCTCCGGGGGCAGTGCTTGCAGGCTCACCACCTGATCCCTGAAGGGAATAGTAGGAACCTTGGGCACATAGCCGGGCCGTGGCCTTAGTGGTTTAGTGCAGTGTGCTGATGTGTCTGTGGGTTAGTGCAGTGTGCTGATGTGTCTGGGGTTTAGTGCAGTGTGCTGATGTGTCTGTGGTTTAGTGCAGTGTGCTGATGTGTCTGTGGTTTAGTGCAGTGTGCTGATGTGTCTGTGGTTTAGTGCAGTGTGCTGATGTGTCTGTGGTTTAGTGCAGTGTGCTGATGTGTCTGTGGTTTAGTGCAGTGTGCTGATGTGTCTGTGGTTTAGTTCAGTGTGCTGATGTGTCTGTGGTTTAGTTCAGTGTGCTGATGTGTCTGTGGTTTAGTGCAGTGTGCTGATGTGTCTGTGGTTTAGTTCAGTGTGCTGATGTGTCTGTGGTTTAGTGCAGTGCGCTGATGTGTCTTTGGTTTAGTGCAGTGCGCTGATGTGTCTGTGGTTTAGTGCAGTGTGCTGTGTTTTCTGATAGGTATGATCATGTCAGAGCTCCTGGTCGTGGTGGAGGATCATCGGCAGAGCAGCAGAACAGAGGCAGCAGTGCAGGAGCGTCAGCGCCGGGCCCCGGACCCCCGCCCAGCACCAGCAAACATGTCAGCAAGCCTCTGGTGCTCAGAGACAAAGGTGTCAGATACACTGCATGACTGTATATGACAGCCACAGTGCTGAGATGACTGTGAGCTGATGTTGTGTTGCTGTGTTTCAGCGCTGGGCTCTGACAGCAGAGCGAGGGACTGCTGGGATTACAGCAGCGACAGCAAGCCTCACTCCTATCTGGAGGCCACCCGCTGCGGGCTGCAGAGCTCGGCCGGCGCCGGCCCACATCCAGACCACCAGCAGCTCTGCCCTTACCTAGCGACGGGACACTGTCACTACGGCGACAGCTGCCCATATCTCCATGGCGATCTGTGTGAAATATGCCGCCTGCAGGTTCTGCATCCGCACAACCCTGAACAAAGAGCAGCGCATGAGAAGGTGATTGACTGAGTTCTTTTCTTTCTTCTCTAAAATACCTGGTCTGATGAAGGGGAAAAAATTATATATATATATAATTGTGTGTTTGTGTGTGTCATAGTTCATCCTCATAAATTTCACTATGCAGCTTTTTCCAAATTTGGCACTTTTTTGACTTGATCAAATCTTGCAAGATTGTGATTCATCTCTGAACTAGTTGCATTTGGTTGAACTCATTATTTAAAAATTAATTTAGTAAATTGAATGAGAAAGATTCATACTAAGACGGTCACTGTTGCACTACTTTGTGAGGAAGAGTATGTGATGCTGCTGCTGTTTGTGCTCAGATGTGCATGACGGCCTTCGAGCTGGACATGGAGAGAGCGTTCGCAGCACAGCAGAGTCAGGACAAGCAGTGTAAGATCTGTCTGGATGTGGTGTATGAGAAGGCGTCTCCGTCCGAGCGGCGCTTTGGCATCCTCTCCAGCTGCTGCCACACGTACTGCTTGAGCTGCATCCGGCAGTGGCGCTGCGCTGAGCAGTTCCAGAACCAGATCCGCAAGTGAGTCCAGAGCCGCACTGATGTTAGCCCTGCTGTCTCAAATGCTGTGAGGCAGGGGCGGACTGGGGCTAAAACGTGGCCCTGGACTTTTTGCACAGAGCGGCCCACACCATAAACCCACCAGCTCATTAGAGATATTTTTAACACCACTTACTGACATACAAATATAACACAATACAGAAATATATATATATATTTAAATTATTATCATTAACATTAATGAATGACCGTCATACTTCTTTACATTATAATTTGTCTTTCCTGGTGTATATGGCAATTTGTAAATCATATTTTACACATCTCTTAGAGGGACAGTTTAATATCTCTAAAGTTAAATGCCTACCATAATATCAGTCCATATAACAATGCTCTGCTCTAGAAGACTTGGAATGTAGTACAGAATGTGGACTGTTTTTATTGTACCTTTCAATTGCTTGACTAGAGTTTTTTTTTTATGAAGAATTTTATGATGATGAAAAATACAATAAACTGTAATATGTGAAATATATAGAGTTACAATTTAGAGCAGCTGTTTTCTATGCAAATATATAGTAAACAATAATGTATTTCTGTGATGCGCAGCTGTATTTTCAGCATCATTCCTCCAGTCTTCAGTGTCACATGATCTTCAGAAATCAGTATAATATGCTGATCTGCTGCTCGAGAAACATTTCTGATTATTATCAATGTTGAACACAGTCGTGCTGCACAATATTTTTGTGGAAAATGTGATAGATACATCACCATTCAGTCTAGAGTAAGATTTAAAATAATAATAATACAACTTTTATTCAACAAGGTTGCATTAAATTTATTTAAGTGATAGTAAAGATATGCTTATTACAAATTATTTATATATAAAAAACGTTGTTCTTTAACTTTGTATTCAACAAATAATCCTGAAAAAGTTAATGTCACAGTTTCCACATAAGTATTAAGAAACAAAAACGGTTTTCTGTACTGATAATAATAAGAACCATTATTAATGACTGAGCACAAATAATAATTGAAAATAATTAAGCAGCAAATCAGCATATTATACTGATTTCTGAAGATCATGTGACACTGAAGACTGCAGTAATGATGCTGAAAATACAGCTGCGCATCACAGAAATAAATACATTTAAACATTAAACCGTTAAAACATTCACATTAAAATATCTTTAATAGAAAAATAGAACTTTCCTAATCACGGCACTTGAAAGAGAAAGTTTTCAGATTTACAATGTTCTAGAGTAAGTTTGAGAATTATATTTTTACTGTTTTTTGAAACATTTTCTTAGACACATGAAATTTCGGAAGAAATATAATGATATACAAACGTATGCTGAAAACAGCTACATTAATGTTTCTATATACACTGTGGCAAACAATGTAAATGGCATTAAAATCTGAGAGTTTGCATGCCTGAAAATTAATGTCTGTCGTTAAACATTTTTTGTAAACTGTTGGCAAATATTGCTGAATTGTCTCTTACCTCAGCTCGCATTCAAATGCCGCGCAGCTCAGCTTCTGTGAACAGTAAATCCCGGCTTCTTTAATTTGATTGAGCCAGAACGCGGTAAATTGATTAGAATGTTTGTCTCAAGTGGGCTCGTGGGCCATTCGTCTGGGCCGAGGGAGGGATAGGCTACGTATATTTACTGTAATTCATTCTTTACATTTATGCAATGGGCCTGCCCACATTGTACAGTGGCCCAGCGGGAAAACTCCCGGTGCTCCAGATGGCCAGTCCGCCACTGCTGTGAAGTAACGTGTGATTGTGTGCAGGTCCTGCCCCGAGTGCCGCGTGGTGTCCGAGTTCGTCATTCCCAGCATGTACTGGGTGGAAGACCAGGAGGAGAAGAACCGGCTCATCGAGGAGTTCAAGTCTGGAGTCAGGTGCGTATGAAACCAACTTCCATTGTTGCAAGGCAGCCAAATAATTAGCAATACACACGGGGCTCCAAAAGGAACTGGATTCCTGCAGGATTCATTTTTTATTTTTATAAAAATAGCATGTTTTACACCAGGATTGGTTTCATTTTTAAAACACATAAACACATAGTCAGTAATGTGCAGTGCCATTTTAGTATCGTTGAGATGCAATTATAGTTTATTATACAAGATTTTTATTTTTTTATTTTCATATGCTCCATTTTAATTTAAATTTTAGGTAAAGTTTTAATAACAAATTGTTTCAGTACTTCGTTAAACCAATTGAAAACGTCTCGGTTATGTATGTAACCCTCATTCCCTGAAGGAGGGAACAGATACGTCACATCGGTATGACCGACAAATTGGGATCTCGCTTAGAGAGACCAATCTACTTCAAGTGTAACTAAACAAGCCAATGCACATTGGCATGCGATGATTGCATCCAGCTGCCACTGATCGCAGCGCGAGTATAATTAGGCAGCAGGTGCAACGCATACTCAGGTTTTCGCTGAGGAGCCGAGCCGGTTGTACAGCAGACGTGGTGACGGGACATGACATCTCTGTTCCCTCCTTCAGGGAACGAGGGTTACATACGTAACTGAGACGTTCCCTTTCAGTTTGTCACTTTCGAACGTCACGAGATGTTCCCTTTCAGTTGGTCACTTTCGACCGGCGAATTGGGATCCCTACCAAAGCACCACGGATGCTGAACCCCTTCAGCGCCCTGTGTGAGCCTCCTGCACCCCCTTTTTGGTGTAGGCGGGGGCTCACACCAGGAAGACCAATTTCTCCAGTTTCTGTTGTCGTAGCACTACCCACTCAGTGAGATTAGATAACACTGGGAAAACGTACCCGTTCCACTTGGTGCCTGAAGCCTCATCCTTCCTGATGGAGGTTTCGGAAGCACTTACACGTATGGATAACCGTTTAGGTGCATATGGAAGATTAGAGGTGATTGTAACCCTCTTGGAAAATGGCAGAAAATCTGCCGGGGAAACACGGGCTCTGAGGCTATACCGTGGACTTTCCACATATGGGATCCACTTAAGTCACTACATATGGAACTCAGCCCTCTACTGGTTCTCATGGATTCATTGAGTGAGAGGCCTGGCACCGGACGTTCCACCACGTCTGGCTGCCGAGGGGATGGAGGAGCTCGACAGGGTCTACAGTGCGGACTCTCTGGAGTGGTTTTAGCAAGCCAACACTAGCTGGGGCCTCTCAGTGCTTCTATCCGAGGTGAGAACACATAACACAATACAGAAATATATATATATATTTAAATTATTATCATTAACATTAATGAATGACCGTCATACTTCTTTACATTATAATTTGTCTTTCCTGGTGTATATGGCAATTTGTAAATCATATTTTACACATCTCTTAGAGGGACAGTTTAATATCTCTAAAGTTAAATGCCTACCATAATATCAGTCCATATAACAATGCTCTGCTCTAGAAGACTTGGAATGTAGTACAGAATGTGGACTGTTTTTATTGTACCTTTCAATTGCTTGACTAGAGTTTTTTTTTTATGAAGAATTTTATGATGATGAAAAATACAATAAACTGTAATATGTGAAATATATAGAGTTACAATTTAGAGCAGCTGTTTTCTATGCAAATATATAGTAAACAATAATGTATTTCTGTGATGCGCAGCTGTATTTTCAGCATCATTCCTCCAGTCTTCAGTGTCACATGATCTTCAGAAATCAGTATAATATGCTGATCTGCTGCTCGAGAAACATTTCTGATTATTATCAATGTTGAACACAGTCGTGCTGCACAATATTTTTGTGGAAAATGTGATAGATACATCACCATTCAGTCTAGAGTAAGATTTAAAATAATAATAATACAACTTTTATTCAACAAGGTTGCATTAAATTTATTTAAGTGATAGTAAAGATATGCTTATTACAAATTATTTATATATAAAAAACGTTGTTCTTTAACTTTGTATTCAACAAATAATCCTGAAAAAGTTAATGTCACAGTTTCCACATAAGTATTAAGAAACAAAAACGGTTTTCTGTACTGATAATAATAAGAACCATTATTAATGACTGAGCACAAATAATAATTGAAAATAATTAAGCAGCAAATCAGCATATTATACTGATTTCTGAAGATCATGTGACACTGAAGACTGCAGTAATGATGCTGAAAATACAGCTGCGCATCACAGAAATAAATACATTTAAACATTAAACCGTTAAAACATTCACATTAAAATATCTTTAATAGAAAAATAGAACTTTCCTAATCACGGCACTTGAAAGAGAAAGTTTTCAGATTTACAATGTTCTAGAGTAAGTTTGAGAATTATATTTTTACTGTTTTTTGAAACATTTTCTTAGACACATGAAATTTCGGAAGAAATATAATGATATACAAACGTATGCTGAAAACAGCTACATTAATGTTTCTATATACACTGTGGCAAACAATGTAAATGGCATTAAAATCTGAGAGTTTGCATGCCTGAAAATTAATGTCTGTCGTTAAACATTTTTTGTAAACTGTTGGCAAATATTGCTGAATTGTCTCTTACCTCAGCTCGCATTCAAATGCCGCGCAGCTCAGCTTCTGTGAACAGTAAATCCCGGCTTCTTTAATTTGATTGAGCCAGAACGCGGTAAATTGATTAGAATGTTTGTCTCAAGTGGGCTCGTGGGCCATTCGTCTGGGCCGAGGGAGGGATAGGCTACGTATATTTACTGTAATTCATTCTTTACATTTATGCAATGGGCCTGCCCACATTGTACAGTGGCCCAGCGGGAAAACTCCCGGTGCTCCAGATGGCCAGTCCGCCACTGCTGTGAAGTAACGTGTGATTGTGTGCAGGTCCTGCCCCGAGTGCCGCGTGGTGTCCGAGTTCGTCATTCCCAGCATGTACTGGGTGGAAGACCAGGAGGAGAAGAACCGGCTCATCGAGGAGTTCAAGTCTGGAGTCAGGTGCGTATGAAACCAACTTCCATTGTTGCAAGGCAGCCAAATAATTAGCAATACACACGGGGCTCCAAAAGGAACTGGATTCCTGCAGGATTCATTTTTTATTTTTATAAAAATAGCATGTTTTACACCAGGATTGGTTTCATTTTTATCTGTTACAAACACATAGTCAGTAATGTGCAGTGCCATTTTAGTATCGTTGAGATGCAATTATAGTTTATTATACAAGATTTTGGATTTTTTATTTTCATATGCTCCATTTTAATTTAAATTTTAGGTAAAGTTTTAATAACAAATTGTTTCAGTACTTCGTTAAACCAATTGAAAACGTCTCGGTTATGTATGTAACCCTCATTCCCTGAAGGAGGGAACAGATACGTCACATCGGTATGACCGACAAATTGGGATCTCGCTTAGAGAGACCAATCTACTTCAAGTGTAACTAAACAAGCCAATGCACATTGGCATGCGATGATTGCATCCAGCTGCCACTGATCGCAGCGCGAGTATAATTAGGCAGCAGGTGCAACGCATACTCAGGTTTTCGCTGAGGAGCCGAGCCGGTTGTACAGCAGACGTGGTGACGGGACATGACATCTCTGTTCCCTCCTTCAGGGAACGAGGGTTACATACGTAACTGAGACGTTCCCTTTCAGTTTGTCACTTTCGAACGTCACGAGATGTTCCCTTTCAGTTGGTCACTTTCGACCGGCGAATTGGGATCCCTACCAAAGCACCACGGATGCTGAACCCCTTCAGCGCCCTGTGTGAGCCTCCTGCACCCCCTTTTTGGTGTAGGCGGGGGCTCACACCAGGAAGACCAATTTCTCCAGTTTCTGTTGTCGTAGCACTACCCACTCAGTGAGATTAGATAACACTGGGAAAACGTACCCGTTCCACTTGGTGCCTGAAGCCTCATCCTTCCTGATGGAGGTTTCGGAAGCACTTACACGTATGGATAACCGTTTAGGTGCATATGGAAGATTAGAGGTGATTGTAACCCTCTTGGAAAATGGCAGAAAATCTGCCGGGGAAACACGGGCTCTGAGGCTATACCGTGGACTTTCCACATATGGGATCCACTTAAGTCACTACATATGGAACTCAGCCCTCTACTGGTTCTCATGGATTCATTGAGTGAGAGGCCTGGCACCGGACGTTCCACCACGTCTGGCTGCCGAGGGGATGGAGGAGCTCGACAGGGTCTACAGTGCGGACTCTCTGGAGTGGTTTTAGCAAGCCAACACTAGCTGGGGCCTCTCAGTGCTTCTATCCGAGGTGAGAACACAGGAGGATACCGGCTCAACATGAAGGTAATAGAATCTAGCGAACGTGTTGGGGGTCGCCCAGCCCGCAGCCCTACAAATATCTGTCAGCGAGGCGCCATGAGCCAGCGCACAGGAGGATGCAACATTTCTAGTAGAGTGAGCTCGCAACCTGAGTGAGCAGGGCACCCCCTGTGCCTGATAGGTCAGTGTGATGGCATCCACTATCCAGTGGACCATCCTCTGCTTGGAGACGGCATTCCCCGACCATAACATACATACAAATACACATACACATAACAGACAAAGAGCTGATCTGAGGTCCTGAAGATTTGTGTCTGGTCCACGTACCATCTCAAGGCTCGGATGGGACAGAGCAAAGCTAGGGCTGGGTCTGCTGCCTCCGGGGGCAGTGCTTGCAGGCTCACCACCTGATCCCTGAAGGGAATAGTAGGAACCTTGGGCACATAGCCGGGCCGTGGCCTTAGGATTACCTGGGAGTTATCTGGCCTAAACTCTAGGCACGATTCGTCGACAGAAAATGCGTGCAGGTCCCCTACCCTCTTGATGGAGGCCAATGCAAGCAGGAGCAGAGTTTTCATTAACAGAAACTTCAGCTCAACTGAGTGCAAAGGCTCAAATGGGCCCTGCTGTAGTGCTCTGAGCACTAGAGTCAGGTCCCAAGGGGGTATAGAGGGGGTCTGTGGAGGATTTAGCATTCTCGCCCCCTAAGGAACCTGATGACCAGGTCATGCATCCCTACTGACTTCCCTTCCACGGGGTCTTGGTTTACAGCAATCGCAGCATCACAGACTTTAAGGTTGGAGGGAGACAGCCTTCGCTCCAACCTCTGCTGCAGAAAGGAAAGCACGACTCTGATCGGGCATCTCCGGGGGTCTTTTCGGTGAGAAGAACACCACTCGACAAACAGGTTCAACTTCAAGGCGTAAGCGTGTCTCATAGACGGTGCTTGTGCCGAAGTGTTGGTGTCTACTACCTTCTGGAGTATGTTACCTAGAACCTCTGTGTCCTGTCCAGGGACCAGACATGAAGTTTCCAGAGGTCTGGACGTGGGTGCCACAGGGTGCCCCATCTCTGAGTCAGTAGATTGTTCCTCAGAGGAATCTGCCAGGGAGGGGCTGTCACGAGGAGCATTAGTTCTGGGAACATGGTCCGATTGGGCCAGTAAGGCACCACAAGCAGGACCTGCTCCTCGTCCTCCCTGGTCTTGCACAGCATCTGTGCGAGAAGGCTCATTGGGAGAAACGCTTCCTTCACAGGCCCCGCGGCCAGCTGTGTGCCAGTGCGTCCGTGCCAAGTGTTCCCTCAGTCAGGGAGTAAAACAACTAACAGTGAGAGGTCTCTGGGGAGGCAAACAGGTCTACCTGAGCGGCTCCGAAACGTCTCCAAATCAGCTGGACCGTCTGGGGATGGAGTCTCTATTCTCCGGGGAGCACAGCTTGTGACAGCTCGTCAGCCTTACGGTTGTGCAGACCCGGAATATGAACGGCACGAAGCGATCTCAAATGCTTCCAACTCCAGAGAAGGAGGTCGTTTCTGTGTCAACATCTTGAACGGTAACCGGTGAAGGGCACGGTTCAAGACATGCAGGTCTAAGATCGGTCGTAACCCACCGCCTTTCTTGGGTACAATGAAGTAAGGGCTGTAAAACCCAGTCTTCATATCGGCTGGAGGGACCGGCTCTATCGCGTCTTTCGCCACTACGACTGCAGTCTCTGCACGCAAGGCATGAGCATCGGCTGCCTTCACTGATGTGAGGTGGATGCCCCTGAACACGCCGGGTGAACTGAATCGCATAGCTGGGTCTGATGGTCCACAGGAGCCAGCGAGACGAGACGGGCTGGGTAGCGCTAGCCAGGCACCCAGACACCGTACAAGCTGGACCAGCGGGACCACCGACGTACCCACAGTGGGACAGCGAGGTGGAACGCAGAGACCCAGCTCAGGTGGCTCGTAGGCAGACCAAAGAGGGGTCTGAGTGTGCGGTGCAACGCTTACCTGGTTCCACGTTTGGGCAGTGGGTGCGTGAGTAGGGCCATTGATGACTCTCTCGAACTGCCCGCTGCTGCCTGCTGACGACAGAGGATGAATGTGGTCCGGTGTAGGCTCATGTCGACCAGACACAGCCAGAGGTGGCACTCCTGGACCACAAGTGTGGACATCGCACGACCCAGAGAACTCGCTGTGACCTTTGTTGCTCGGAGTGCAAGGTCAGATGCGGTTCAAAGCTCTTTCAGAACTTCCGGATCGTGACCCCCGTATACCTCCTAGCTGCACCACCGTTGGGAGTGGTGAGGGAGGAGGAGCTAGCAGGCCGGTTTCCAGCAGTGAAAGTTGCCGTCCACGCCCTAGTAAGCTCCTTATGCACGTCCGGGAAGAAAGGCACTGGGGTGGGGCGCTGAGAACCAGCGGGCCACCCTGAGAAACCAGTCGTCCAACCTTGAGAGCTCGCGACACAGTGGAGGTATAGCCATCATTCCTGGATCCGATTCAGGCATTGCTACCGTCCCGGAGGGTGGCAGCGCAGCCGAATCTTCCTCTCCAGAATGCTCAAGCTCACCGTCCGATGCAGCGATCGACATCCGATCGTTGGGAGGAGCGCCGAAGGATACTGCTGGTATGCTTCTTGAAGAGTGCCCAGCACGTTCCTTTGGCAGCTCAACTGGTTGCGGAGTGCAAGAGGAGCGATGTTCCCTGGAGGTTCATGATTTATTAAATTCTGCATTCTGGTTTCTTCTCCTCATCTCTCCTTTAGTCTTCACTAAAGCCTCCCAGATCATGGGACGGTCTGCTCCGCTTCACTTTAAAGAGCAGCTGCACTGTTCAATCAGAAATGAATAGAATATGAGGCTAAAGGTTAATTGTTTGGAGTCTTCCCATAATGCCGTCTGTTAGCAGCCTTTCATCTGCACTCAGACCAGTAGCTGGGAGCTGTTTTCATCCATCCGTCCGTTTATTGAGTGATTGATTTATTTGGCTGTATATAATATTTGCAGAATGCAGACAGATTTCTTTGACATTGTGGTTCAAACGTGTGTGTGTTCTGTATTCATAAGATTTGTCATCATCTGCTTGAATGTGTTTGTGTATTGGCAGTAAGAAGCCCTGTAAATACTTCGATCAGGGAAGAGGAACGTGTCCGTTTGGAGGAAAGTGCTTCTACATGCATGCGTATGCCGACGGGACACAAGCAGAACCCGATAAACCCCGCAAACAGATGAGCGCAGAGGGGAACATGCGGGTAACACACACACACTCAATATATAATAACCACCCTGCAACGTTCTAGGAACGCTATGTTATGGTTGCAAAAAAAATAACCCTAAAACTAACCATTAGGGAACGTTCTCTATTTTTGGGTTATTTAATAACCACCATGCAACGTTCTAGGAACATTATTTTGTGGTTACAAAAAAAAAAAAAAAACTAAAAATAACATTCCCCTAACGTTAGTATTTGGTTCCCAAAAAAATCGGGACCAAACGGGAACCAAAAACGAACGTTAGGGGAACGTTCTGTGTTTGCTGGGTACTGACTTTGCTTTTATTATCATTATTATTTGTTTGGCTTCCTAAAACACCAGTGTGAATGTAGTTTAGACTGAGACAGTATATCACAAATAAAAAGAGGGTTGAGTCCCCTTTAAAGTTTAGCTACAAGTTCACTGACTTTTTTCTGACTCGTTTTCTTAGTTAAGAACATGGGTTGGAGCTCTTCATTTTGAACTCTCCAAGTCCATTAGATAGAATACTTTAACTTTAAAATGTACACAATTTAAATGTTTTTCCAATTCTTCATTTAATATCACAATGAATATTGTATCGTGGGCTACATATCGTGATATTATGGTACGGTGAGATATGGATGTGGTTACATGCCTAGCTCTGTAGGAATGCTAGCTCTGCTCAGAGAAGCTGGAAACTGTGTTCACTCACGCCGCTCTCTGTGTGTGTTGCTCAGTTCCTGAGCTCGGTGCGTCTGTGGGACTTCATCGAGGAGCGCGAGCACCGTGGGACGCCGGCGGACGAGGACGAGGTCAGTGAGCTGGGAGAGCTCTTCATGCAGCTGTCTGGAGCCGGAGAGACGAGCGGCTCATCTGCGGCACGCTGATCCACCTCCAACATCTGGCCAATACATGTGTTTGTGCGTCCCAGACTCTATTAAAGCACCTGTAAGGTCTCTGTGGGCTGCTGGGTCCTCCTGACCTGCATTGGGATTTTGCCAGATTCTTTAACGTCATGCCCAAAGACGAATGTATGATGGGAACTGAAATCTCGCCGACACATTTTCAAATGCACTCCAGTAGTGTATGAAGTGTATTACAGAAATACTGTCAAGTGGGAAAAAATGAAATAAATAGTAATCGTTGCACTTAGTTCAGATAACACATATTCATAACTTTATAAAGTTTGGGCATCATGCAATATGGCTGCGGTTAAAACAGTAAGCATTGATTTTGTCGCCAGTGAATGGACTTATCGGTATTTTAGGAGCATTTGGAGACTAGTTACTTCATTTTGGACTCAACTGATATCATAGTACTGAATTCACTCATCTGGTTTACTCTTGAATCTGATTATGGGTTATTATATTGTGTTTTCTGAGTTGTATTGTTGAGTGACACTGGAGCGAGTGTAATAAACGGATTAGTGACCGAGTGGCCTGTGTGATTTTGAAACAATCGCTTGATTAGAGTCTCAGGAATCCCTCAAATACATTGAGCCTTTATTCAGTTCTCTCAAACCCTGCTAATAACACACGACTAATCATGAGCTCTGAAAGGCACTAATGTGCTGCACAACAGAGCTACAACGCTTTAAAACTGAGGTTATCTGTGAAAGGAGGCGCTTCACCTCCACAAATCTTCAGTCACCTCAGCAGGTTAAACTATTTCTGTATTTAGATATAAATTATTTTCCAGAAAGAAAAAAACGAATTTAGTTTGAAGCACTGAATTTAAGAATGCAGTCATATGTGTCCCTGCAGCACAAAAGCAGTGTTGAGTCGCTGGGGGATATTTGTAGCAATAGCCAACAATACATTGTATGTGTCACAATTATACATTTCTCTTTTATGCCAAAAATCATTAGGATATTAAGTAAAGATCATGTTCCATGAAGATATTTAGTAAATGTCCTACCGTAAATATATCAAAACTTAATGTTTGATTAGTAATATGCATTGCTAAGAACTTCATTTGAACAACTTTAAAGATGATTTTCTCAATATTTAGATTTTTTTGCACCCTCAGATTCCAGATTTTCTAATATTGTCCGATCCTAACAAACCATACATCAATGGAAAGAGTATTTATTCAGCTTGTATTTATTCAGATGTATAAACCTCAATTTAAAAAAATTGACCCTTATGATTGGTTTTGTGCTCCAGGGTCACATATCTACAATTTGTGTAAATTTGAGAAAAGTAATTAATCATGAATTATGGCTGCACAGATATTTCGAAGCACTAGTTTGGTGGTATTTTTAATATCAAATGTAAACCACTGACTCTTTGTCATTTAATTCAGACGAGTCAGTGATCAACAAAACAAACAAAAAGCATCAGGGCGGCACAGTTAATCTAATATGTAATCAACACAATTATTCTTAGTAATTCAAACTGAAGTATTAAATATTGAATTGGCTATTTAGTTTTTATTTACATTTGTAATAAACATTACTTAATTTTACTGATTTTATTTTCCATTTATGTTGAGTTTTTTAATAGAAAAACGTTTGGTCTTGTGGTAACTTCTTAAAGAGTCAAGTTGCTGAGTTCACTCACATATAGTCAACACTAGAATTTGTGTAAAAACTGAGAAGACTGAATGAGATGATTTACTTGGGTGCCACTATTTCAAAGAATGTTACATTTAAAAAAAGTATCTCAAGCGTTCAGCTGTGTTAGTAACTCATATTTTTAGTACACCTAATTGACTTTCAAGCTACGTCCAAATCCTGATTGAATTATTTCAGTCCAGACCACTGACAGCAGAATCACTTTTAATGGGAGCAGTACACACATTCCACATATTAAAAACTACTGTTTATGCAATGTTCATTTTAATTAAACAGTTTCTCTAACACGAAAGGTAAACATTTATACCATATTCAGGATAAGAGCCATTTGCAATTGCTTTTTAAAATCTTTAATAGAGTAAAGTGTGGAAAAGCCTATACTGTATGTGATGTTCATTGCAGTTTTGGCCCTACAGTACTGATCTGTTGTGTACAAAATGCCTCTGTCAGGTCGTCATATTTAAGCTATATCAGATACTCAATATTTAACTCAAGCAATATCACACTAGAATGAGCACTAAATATCAGCATTAATTCAGACCAACATCAGATTTTTCTTAAAAGAATAGAAAGCAATGGTTTATGGATTTGTATTTTAGACTGCAGCAATGGTTTGAAGTTAAAAGCATCTTAATGCTGGATGTGTTTCAGCTTTAGTCTTCTCCAGATGTTAACTGATGGACTGGAGTGCTGTGGATTATTGTGATGTTTTTATCAGCTGTTTGGACTCTCATTCTGACGGCACCCATTCACTGCAGAGCATCCATTGCTGAGACACTGATGCAGTGCTACATTTCTACAAACCTGAGGAAGAAACACACTCATCCTGATCTGGGATGAACAGAGAGATAGTTCACCCAAAAATCACAATTTAGTGAACATGCACTCACTCTAATCATTAAATGCGGTCATCTTGTATAATATTGCTGCTGCTGCTGCTTTAAAAAAGTTAAAACGTCAAGCACAAATCATCTTAAAAACCGAACTTGTGTGGTGTATTTAACTTAATTTTATTAAAATACAATGAATATACAATCTGTCAAGTTTACAAGTTACTCTTCCATGACAAGCACTAAAAGCCAGAAAAAATACGAATCCCTAATAAGTCTCATATTAAAGTGAATACCCGCTCTTCTTTCCTGGATTCCTGTAACACACACACACACACACACACACACACACACAGTCAAAGAGACAGCTAGCCACACGCCGGTGAAGAGCTAGGAGGCGTTTCGAGCGACTCCATGGCTGTCAGTGGCACTTAGGGAATATTCACCAGAGCCTCTGCTTGCAGGCACATGATTGTGAGGAGGATGAGAAAGCTTGGATCGCACACACAGAGAAGCACAGCGCTTCACTTGAAGACAGCGGAGAGCGGCAGTGTGCAGACGCTGATGTCCTCGGTGTGCGAGGCTCTGTGGAGCGACGGCTCGGACGCGCTGCGGTTGATCTTGGGCAGCGAGTGCTGGAGCAGCTCGATCGAGGACAGGATCTGTGAGAGACACAGCCTCAGTATACAGCACTGCACACAAACACACACACAAACACATCTGCTGTGCATCCGAGCTAACAGTCGTTAACACACAGCTACCGCTCCTTTAAAAGCTCACAATAAACCTACACTTTACAGGAGGACAAGTTATTAGAGGTGCACTGAAACATGCTGCAGGACTGACACACATGTGTGACCCTGGAGCACAAAACCAGTCATAAGGGTCAATTTTCTGAAATTGAGATTTATGCATCATCTGAAGCTGAATACATAAGCTTTCCATTGATGTATGGTTTGTTAGGATAGGACAATATCTGAAAATCTAGAATCTGAGGGTGCAAAAAAATCTAAATATTGAGAAAATCATCTTTAAAGTTGTTCAAATGAAGTTCTTAGCAATGCATATTACTAATCAAACATTAAGTTTTGATATATTTACGGTAGGACATTTACAAAATATCTTCATGGAACATGATCTTTACTTAATATCCTAATGATTTTTGGCATAAAAGAGAAATGTATAATTGTGACCCATACAATGTATTGTTGGCTATTGCTACAAATATCCCCCAGCGACTTAACACTGCTTTTGTGCTGCAGGGACACA